TGCTGCCGCTGCTGCTGCTGCTGCTGCTGCTGCTGCTGCTGCTGCTGCTGCAGGTGGGTACTGGCTGGTCTTCTGGGGGCTCGTCAATCCACACAAACCCTGAGGGGGCCCCCGGGCAGGGGGCCCTAAACCTTAAGTGGAAGGGGGCCCCCAGGGGGCCCCCCGGGGGGCCCCCCGGGGGGGCCAAAAGGGTTTTGAAAAGACCCACAGTGATGTCTGCTGCTGCTGCACCTGCTGGCAGCAAAAAGCAGTTGGGGCCCCTGTCTTTGGGCCTTTCTCTGCTGCTCAGCTGGTTCATTATGAACTGCTGCTGCTCCTGCTGCTGCTGCTGCTGCTGCTGCTGCTGCAGCACTGCTGCTGCGTCTGCAGGGGGGAAGCCGCAGCAATCCGAAAGCTGCACATAGTATGTTGCTGCTGCGGGGATCCCTATGGGGGCCCCCTCGGGGGCCCCCTCAGCTGGGGGGCCCCCCAGGGGGCCCCCCAGGGGGCCCCCCTGGGGGCCCTTGGGGGGCCCCCCCGAGGGGCCCCTGCGCAGGGTAGCGCTGCCCCAGGCTGCTTGCTGCTGCTGCAGCTGCTGCTTCAGCTGCTGCTGCTGCTGCTCTATTTTCTTCTCCACATACTGCATGCCCTCGCGGGCGAGCTGGCTGCTGCGCTGGGCCACGGCGGAGGCCCAGCCCTTCAAGTCCATTCTAGGGTTTAGGGTTTAGGGTTTAGGGTTTGGGGCTAGGGTTTAGGGTTTAGGGTTTGGAGGGCCAGGGGGCCTCGCGAGAAGCCCTATTGGCCAAATGAAATGGCAAAAAGTAAAAAGTGAATAATTAAAAGTTCAAATCATCGCTGGGGAGGGCGAAGAAGGTCGCGAGCTGTACAGACACCTGCGAGCTGTACAGACACCTGGTGAGCACAGGCGAGCGGCGCGCAGCAGCAGTCGCCTTTTGGTCTCATTTGTGTTTTAATTTAAAATTTAAAAACTCCAAATCAACAAATTTAATTTAATTTAATTCAACTACGCAAAATAAGCGAACAAAGGCCGGCAAAAGCTCGTCAACTGGGGCCCCGGGGGCCCCCGGGTGTCTGCGCATCCACCTCGGAAGAACTGCACGAAACTTTACTTTTTTGCATTTCTTTTGCTGCTTTTGCCATTTAAATGAATTCAAATTCCTTTTTTATTGTTTTAAAAAGGTTTTTGCAGTTATTTATCTCCAAAATGAATTTAATTTCGTCGAATTCCGCGCGCCGCCGCCTAGCCAGCAGCAGCAAGCAGGTGTCTGTACACCTCAGCAGCAGCACAGTCGCTCTTTTCCACTCTTCTGCTTTTTCTTTTTAATTCAAAAGTTTTAAAACCCTTTTCGTAGCAGGCAGATCCGTTTGTAGGGTTTAGGGTTTAGGGTTTAGGGTTTAGGGTTTGGAGGCTAGGGTTTAGGGTTTAGGGTTTTCTCTACGCAGTGGGGGGCCCCCAGGGGCCCTTCCTGTCTCTGGGAAAAGCAGTAGAGAAACTACTAAAAGCAAATAAAATGAAAAAATAAAA